TGGCTGCAATATAACAAAGAGTGAAAAATTTAAGGGGGTCTGAATACTTTCCGTACCCACTGTAAGTCTTACGAAGGTGTGCATTTTAATTTACAAACAGGTAAGTAGAGGTCAATATTGAACTGGCCAGAATTTGCTACATAATTGCTAAAAAATACTTTTTTAGTTGTGTCACCAAGGCAGAAATGCCACTTATGTTTGAACAAGTTCTAGTGGCAGCTATGCTACAGATGCTAATTATGTTATCGATAACATTTAGACGTATTGGTTTTATACCAATTACGCACTACGATAAATCTACTTTTTTGAGGATATCCAGGTGCTTTCACCCCAAGCAAAGAAACTTGGTGTGAAATAATCTTGTTCTTCTAGGAAAGGTTTAGCATCAATGCATCCAAAATCAAGCAGTTTGCCTTTTGAGTGACATGGATAAATTGAATAATACAAAATAATTCCCAAAAAAGGGTAACCAGTTTGCTCTTTCATAGATGTTTGACACCTGTCATCTCTCACTGTGGTATAACATGCTCTTGTTAAGTAAACGCTCTTATTTATTTTTTTTTATGTGTTCACGGTGCATCTGATTGACTACACTTGAATTTATGACTCAAATAACTAATTATATTATGCGTGTATATGGAAAAAGTATATAAAAGGAATGGTAAATACCACAAAATGAACCTTTTCCAGCATCTATAGTTCATGACCTCCCAGTAAACCTGCCCGCTTCCGTTACACCCATCCGTAGGCTAAATTAAATGTGAGCTGGCTCCCTTTACTTTGACCTGCATGCAGCTTGCTTTCCTTTAAACCCTAAATCCTCTCACTTTACTTCCAATACAGTGCAATTGTCTTTATTAGGCAAACTAGACTGTTTAGGGCAAGTTATTTAGCATGTTAAAACAGAGGATGGTTTATACTTTACCATATTTTTTTATTTTATTTACTCACTGTGGGCCTAAGTACTGCCACCCTGTTAAGCTGCTTTGTGAACCACTGTGCTTTGATCTCATTCTTAAAAGAGATTCAGAAATTAAGCCAAGTTGAACTGAATTCAGGTTTTCTGAATCAGGTTTTATGTTTTTATTTAGTACATGATGCACACATGATGTTTATTATTTTTACAAAATAGCAATGCCACAAGGCCAAACTACATTTATTTGAGTATTAAAATTAATCATCATAAAATATTCTCTACATACAAAAATATCCTGCATTGTCTTAACAGCTGAAACTCATAAGTGAATAATAGTTAGAGTTATATTGGGATGTCTGGGAATTTAGATTAGTGTCTGTGATATATATCCAGCATGTAATGAGCACTAAGCTGGAATCCAGTTCTAAGCTACAGGAAAATTGAAAGGTCTGAAATTAACTGTGAGAACTACAGTGCAGTCACTGTAAATACAGAAGCACGCAATGATTTGAACATGGATTCCAATAGTCTGATGTCGTTACACTTGCACACTCTAATAATCATAAAATGTACAGTACACTACCTTTTGGGATGATTTTTTAATTATGCTCAACCAAGACTGCATATATTTGATCAAACATACAGTAAAAATAGCAATATTGTTAAATATTATTATAATGTAAAAACAACCAACTTCTATTTTAATATGTTTAAAAGTTTAATTTATTCCCGATCCTTCAGAAATCATTCTAATAGGCTTATTTGGCTAATTTAATGAAATAGGCTAATAGGATAACTTAATGAAATAAAGAATAGCCGTTGCGCTGAACGGTTCTCTTTGGATAACCGTTCCATTCCGCGCCGATCCGAGCCGGCCGGTACAGTTATGGTTTCGTTTTCCACTGCAGGGCTGATAATGGATCTCTCTGGAATGCAATTCAAATGCGTCAGTCGTTGCCGTGGTAACACAAGTGTTTACATATGATATGAAATGTAAATAACCACCGCGTTATGGAGGATGATCAGAAATTTCTTTAGATTTTATTACTAATTTGTGTTTACATTGCTCAAAATAGCGTGCTTAGCAAGCTACGGAGAAACTAGCAGCCAGGCAACAGACAAGTGACAGATCCTGAGTGGCGACGTCACGCACACGCACTCTACCAGCACGGCTCAGCACGGTTGTCTAACCGTGCCGAGAATACCGGACCGAGAACGGTTTGTAATCGTGCCGTTACCTGACAGTTCTTAGAACCGTTCGGCCCGATAGTGGAAAAGCGGCTAATGTTTATAAACAACATTTCACGTGACTGTTACACCATCTTGGTCTCATCACAATGCATTCCAGGACTGCCTTAATCGTAGGTATCATAAAAATATTTTATCTTGCCTAAAAATTACCATGTTTAATGGTCAAATGTTGGTTTTACACTGTTTAAATGCAATGCAAATTTGTAAATAAAAACATACCTCACTCTTCAACCCCTTAAGTAAAATAGAACTTTTTAATTTTCAAAATGTTTTTTTTTTTCTACCTTCTTTATTGTGACATCATCAGTGAAGCATCTATTCGCACACCATCAGACAGATAGATTGCTGTCATATTGATAACAGAACCCACCCCACCTCTTTAGCAAAACTCTGAAATGTCTAAAAACAGAAACACAATGAAGCCATATTCCTCCCAAAGGTGTCAGATCGCAATTCTCAATATTGCCACAAGGGCTGCTATAGCCAGAATTAATATAGACTGTCTTTTTCTGTGGTCAGTTTTGTCTTTCAAGTCTGGCATGGCGGTGCAACAGTTTGTAAAAAGTTTGTCCAGCAAATGGGTTAAAGTTAGTCAACATTTCTCTTAAATTCTTATTGGGCAAACGTGTGTTTGTGAATTAAAAGTTAACATTTTGGTCACATTACATAGCGTCACCTTCACAAACACATTTTTCTTCTGACACACCATCCGTTTTGAAATGAATGTATTTGCAGTGGTTTTTGACACAGCATAAACTCTACTATGTAGCCGCCCACAGGCTTTTATATATTCACCCTCTGACCCCATAAATTAAGCACTGGACATTAGGTATGAGTAAGACACTTTGTCTTTCTATAAGTTCCCTTAAATGCAGCGGTACCTTAAAAGGTTGTGAAAGTATGAGCAGATTCCATCTGAAATCCTCTGAAATCCCAACAGACCTCTCTCTGGTGCTGTGTGGAAGTGATAATCAGGGAAAGCATTAACTGATTGTGGAGGAATGTCTTTAGATCTGGACAGTATACCCAATCCTGACAGTTCTCACACTCCACGAGACATGGCTCGGGACAGTTTCACCTCCAACTCCAAACGTGACCATACTGTTGGCTATTCTCACAGAGACTGGCTCTCCTGTGCCAATGTGTGTGTGTTTAAACAATTCACTATGGTAAATCACTGCGCACACTCGACAACAGCTGCAGGCTGTCACACACTTGCTGCGTCTCTGGCCTCCCTGTGACTTTTTACTGTGTGTGTTGGAAGCAGGTGGAGTATTTTTGACATAGCGATGTGTGAGGACTCCCCCTTGGCTGGTGGTCTAACACCTTCTCGGCACCCACTATGAGTTGTGTTTATTTAGTGCGCCTTGTAAACGTGTGTGTGTGTTCCACCAATAGCAACTCAGGCAGGGCATAAGAGTTCTTCAAACTAGCATGTGCTCAATCACAACAAAAAAACAAATACTGCATAACAAATAGTATACTGCGTAGTGAACAATTTACACTGCATACTAAACTAGATTTTTTTGGTGCTTAAACGGGTCCAAAACTCTCTCACATTATGTTGTGGTGCATTGTGTGGTTGCCAAGTCCAGATGCTTTGAAAATCAATGTACCATTAATTTTTGTACTACAAACACTCGTAATTTAATATGCAGTTTGCTCAAATGCATGTTCCAAAAAACAATAATAATTGAATTTTAAAATGTTAAATTGCTTTCCCTGTTGAAAAAAAAAAAAAACACAGCATATGCTGGTTAGGTATGTTTTGAAGCATGGCAGCTGCTTTGAGCTGGGTTAAGCTGGTCCTGAGCTGGTTGTAAGCTTGGTTTAAGCTGGTCCTGTGCTGGTCCTAAGCAATTAGTTCCTGCTCAGGACCAGCTCACAACCAACTTACAACCAGTTCAGGACCAGCTTAAACCAGCTCATGACCAGCTAAGGACCAGCTTAAACCAGCTTCCATGCTTCAAAACATACCTAACCAGCATATGCCGTTTTTTTATTCAACAGGGTTATAAAGAACTTAAATTCTTCTGTTGTTGTATCTTTAGAAAGATCCAACAATACACTAGTCTGTAATATCTTCATCAACTAATGCCATTACAGAAAACTGCATTAGCCTCTATTAAAACATCTCCCTTGAAATCCAAGACCTCATCATTGTTTTCATCCCCAATTACTGCTCACTTTATACGATACGAGTACAAGGATATGCTTGAAGAATATGTGGAAAACAATCTTTAAAGCAGGATTATGAAACTCAAGTTGGAGTCTCTTACAAGCAGGAAGACATCTGGCACATCACAATGGCATATTCAGTTTCGGATGTTCTGGGCTTGGAAGAGTCGAGAATCACAGGACAGAAATAAAGACGACTGTGTCTTTTGTTACCCATGTGCATTAGTTTTTTTGAAGCTTTACACAAATCTTGTGGCCTCCAGTTAGCAGATTGTCTTTTTGACACTGTCACATGGAGAGGGCAACACTAGATAAACTCTAGTCATAATCTCTTTGCGCAAGAGTAAGCAACGCATGCAAAAACATGCTAGCAAGTGCATTTAGACTTAATTATGCAATGTCGTGCTAACATGCTATTGCCTTTGGGTGTGGAAGCATTTGAAAACAATCTCCAGTTGAGTGAAATGCAATGCAAGTCAAACATGGAGAATCCGATAACTGCTATTAAATAATCTCCTGTCTTCCTCAGGTCAGATGCAAGTGGAAAGTAAGAAAACCATCGTGGGAATAAACAACAACTATAACTTGTCCTGTTTTTTCCAGGATAAGCGAGTATCTTCAGTAACAACTCAGTTCCAACATTTAAAAGGCTTACCTTGTTGTAGTAGTGAAGTTGAACCGAATGCCACTGGCCATCGCTAACTCCACCTGGTACAAAAGGTGCGACAGTTGTTTTAGCCTCACCTAGGAGAGAAAGACAAGAAACAAAAATATTAATTTGAATGATAAGAGTAAGGCATATGCATTGTATATGTAAGCTACTTTAAATTATGAGTAGGCAAAATACAGTTTTAAAGTTGCGTAACATATTCAAGGCTTTTAAAAAAATTAGTTAGCTTGCAGCAAACTACACTTAAGCTATTTATATAGGAAACTTGAACAAATATATAGTTCAGTCATGAAACTCTAGATGACGCATTCTGACTGGGTGTTAACGTAACTGATGATATTCAGAGAGTTAAACGACTTGGCACAAGCTGATTGGTTCATGCTGCATATGCAGCCAATGAGCTTACTGCCTTGCATTTATATGGCTGGCTAGCATTCACTTGAGATTCCTGCAGCACGCTTTCAGAGTTCTCTGAAACCCTCCACCTTCCCCAGCTCCACCTGTATAGATCTGCTATGGGGTTATTTTATATGCTATTTGTGCAGCAGCAGTATGTCTTAAATACTCACAGTACCGTATCGCCATATGCACTGTACTTGCTTGCAGCAGCATCAATAATCTACAACTACAGCAATAACCAACAGCAGCAGCAATTCAGCAGCAGCGTAGCAGATCTGTTCCACCAAGACCAAATACATTCCCACTGTCTTATCCATCACCATGCTAAAATGTTCAGAGAGTTGTCATGATTGAAATAAAGTTACACTAAATACGACTAATAAAAGTGGTAATATAAATATATAACAACTTTAGTTATGTTGAAAACTATTAAATATTTAGCAAAAAATTAGGGGCTCAAATTAATCTGTGAATCTTTTTCAAATTTGCTGTCTGAACAAATTTAGGAAAATACATTTAGTTAGTTTCTAACAGTGCATCTTAATTATGTGCAAGTTGGAAAAGTTGGTAAAGACTTTACTTCAAATGTTACAAATGTACATGTTACAATTATGAGTATAAAATAAAAACAGATATCCAAGAGTGTGTTTTGGTATGCGGTAAAGGTGTTTCTTGTATAATTTATGGCTTTGTCACCTCTGCTCCAATATAAAATCACTTAGTGGCTACAGCACAAAGCTGCTAACATAACAACTATTAATCATGTTTAGATATTCTCTCTCATCAATGGAGTTCATTTAAAGGGCAGGGGAGCAAAAATGTACATTGGGTTTAGAGGAATATTTACCCAAGGCAGGAGCCATACTGGTATTCATAAAGAATCAGTAAAGAACAACCAATCATTGTAGCCTCATTGGTAAACAACTGCAACATCGTCTAAGCTATATATTAATTTAATGTCTTTGTTTATTACCCTTGCACCCTTTAATCACTGAAAAACTAAGAATGGTGGGCCGGACTACTGAAATGGTCAAAAGAACAAATGTCATGGGTTACAGCATGTAAAACAGGCTCCACAGCATGACACAGCATTGTTCTCTTTGTCTGGGAAAGATTTATGTGTGCTATAAGATCAACAGTCCCATTATAGGGATGTGCTCATCTTGTGTTATTTATAACCACCTGTGAGCGAAAGTATGTGTGTGTGTGTGTGTGTGTTAGTGTGTCTTCCTCTACACATGCATGGACACATTTGGAAAGACCATCGGGGTCACTGCATAGCCTCATTAACGTTCAGACACTTTACAACTTATAAATCTTTTGTCGTAAACACATTCACCTAAAGCAATTCTCTCTCTACAGTAAGTAACACATGGCTACAAAAACAAGCTGTTTAACGCAGCATGATGTCACCTCATGTTACCGTATATTGTCAACGCTACTGTCTGCTGTCCCAGGAGTGAATATGACATACAGACAGCAACAAACTCTATATGAATACACAAAAGCATATGTGACTGCTTGGCTAACATATTGGAAGCGCATGATCCTTTTGTACATGCTTAATGTGTGTTACTATTGTTGTAACAAACTTCAGTACTCAAGGGGACGATAAAGTTACCTTCATATGTCTGTGCCATTAAAATGATGGTTTTTATTCATGTAGCTAGCTGTAAACATGTTGACAATTTAGCTAACTTTATCTAACATGCTCTGTAAAACCCTCCTTAAATTGTTGCTCTGCCATAACAACAGTTGAACTGAACTATGAATTAACTATTAACTATGACTTTTTCCTCAATAAACTTATACTCACTGCTTTGAAAGGTAGTTGTTAAGTAGGGCTGCACGATTAATCGCCTGCGATATTTAACCGTCTTTACTGACAAGATGCGCGTTAAATATCGCATGCGATTAATCGTGCAGCCCTATTGTTAAGTTTAGGTATTGGATAGGATTAGGAATAAAGAATATGGTCATGCAGAATATGTGCTTTATAAGTACTAATAAATAGCCAACATGCTAGTAATATGCATGCTAATTAGCAACTAGTTAATAGTGAGAATTGCTCCCTATACTAAAGTGTTACCGGCTTCTCAATCGTAACAGTGGTAGGACTGTCATACCTGCTGAGAAGGTGAGTTGAATCTGTTCCTCAATGATCTCCACAGCTATGAAGTCGTGTTTCTCGTTAAAACGACCGTTGTAGAGAAGAAGGGCGTTTCTCTCTCTTGTGGCAAACCTGGACAGAAAAAAACATTGATCAGAACAACCAGAACTACAGGTTTTATTGAATGTTTACACTACCCCTCATAAATCTTTACATCTATTAAGGTTGAGTGCACTTTTCATTTGTTAGAATTCAAGACCTAAATCAAGAGAGCTACAAGAAACCTCCAAGCCAGACAGAAGAAATAACATCTATTAATCAAGAGAGGAAAGGGGAAAAAAATCTGAGAGGAAGTGAACGTAAGGCCAGTGGTCCAGAAACAGGAAGTGGTTCCTCTGCCCTGGGCGGCACATCCCACCTCTATCATGCCTGGGCCGTGGCACAGAGGGCAGAGGAGTCAGAGACCAGCTGCTCTCCAGGAAGATGATGCAAATAAAGAAAAACACAGATAGCGCTCTCTCAACACGTAGCCCTTCCTGTTTTTACTCAGCACGGGAGCCCAAATATTTCTCTAGTGACCCTGTCTCAATATTTGTTACTTAATAAATCAGAACCTTAATTTTCAACTATACAACGGTTTTAAACAAATTATCCATATGTCTTTCTAGCTTTATAAATCCAACAGCTAATAGGCTAAAAATATATTCTAAAGAAAGGGCAAAACTGATTTGAGCTTGACATCAGGATTATCCATGTATGACCCAGAATGTGTAGAAGATAAGTCCAGGCATGCCGCACAGCCAGACAGAGCTCAAGGGCTCCTTATGCAACCTCTTCAACAAATTACACTTTACAGCATGCAAAGCTTCTGGCAGACGTGTCAGTGTAACAAAAAGGTAAACAGGGGCATGACACAGAGGTCATAAACAATTTTCTTGTCAATTACAGCCCATCACTTACATGAAGGAGACAGTGAAGTGGAATCTCTGTCTCAGGCCTCGGAAGGTAATGAAGGACTGTCCGGGAAAGCTGCGTGTCGTCATCTCACAGAAAGGCTTCTCATACTCTCCAGAGGGGCAGTTGCATGTAAAGCCGCCCACTAGCAGGTTGACACACTCACCTCCATTTTTACATACCCCGGGGACACAGCGACCAGAGTGGGCATCTATTTCACAGTTCTCACCTGCACAGGATTATCGGAAGTAAAGTAAACTTGTGAACAGAAAGTGAAATAATCAAGGTGTACAGAATTACTTGCAAATTACAGACAGGTGGGTTACATAAGGGGCTTTTGCATCACGTAGTTCTAGGAATTCAGTTATAGGAACTAGCCAGCAGGGTAGTTCATAGAGAACCAATTCCCCCCTTGGGCCATTTTCCTGCTTGCATTCGCACCGGCAGCAGGAACTCTGAAGCAGCCGATAGTGACATGTTTATGCATGGCATTTATTTACATCGTCAACAGCCAGTTGAGTAGAGGATGCCATGATCGGAGCTGTTTTTGTTATGTGTCATGGGATTTGTGATAACGGAGATGGAATGTAAATGCAGAATTTACGTGATTGAAAGCCCACAAAAATCTGACAAAATTTCCTATGACAACTTGCAGTGTAACTTATCACTGAGAAAAGAACACAAAGCTGCAGACAACAGATAGCTGTTTTCCATGTTCGTGGAGTAAATATGTTTACATGACTTTTTAAAAATGCCAGGTGTAGCCGATGTTTTGTATGCGTTTGGCCAATCAGCATACACTTACGTCACTGGTAGTTCCCATAGTACTGTTTTAGACTCTACTCTGAAGTAGGAACTCATTTAGTTCCCTCAAACTGAGTTCCTAGAACTAAAACCGTTCCTAGTTCCTGCGGTGTGAACATGCCAAAAAGCGGATACTTTTGCCAATAGTTCTAGGAACTATGAAAAAGTTCCTCCGGTGCGAAAGCCCTCCTTCTCGACTGCGGCAGCGGCCGTTGTTGCGGCATGGACCTGAGTAGCACAGGTCAATTTCAGTCTCACAGTAGTCGCCGGTAAAGCCGGCCGGACAACGACAGCGCAGGCCGTTAATTGGATGGATTGGTCTGAAGAGAACAGTATCAGAGGCTATGAAAGGTGGAGAGCTATCAAACTTTAATACAGAGACGCATTTCATGTAGTTCTCGCAAGGTTCCCGCAAGCAGATGTTGTCATCAAATGGAAGGACACTTTGGCTGGAGATTTTCTGCAACAGAGTTCGGTTCAGGTAGATTTGCTCCTGAAGTTCTTCCGAAGGGAAGTAGCGATCAGGAGCTCCTCCAGGAAGCGAGGCTGAGAGGGTGACATTGAGGATGTTGCCACTGACATCTGTGTCATTCTGGACGTTGAAGATGAAAACTCCTTCTCGACTAGTTGAGAGGACCGCAGCCACACCTTCAGCAAACAGAGAGAGTAGCGGTGATAGGAAGCGTTCCTGGGACATGTTCTCCAGACGGACAGTGATGCTGTTCGTTAGCATCTCATCAGTGATGATGGTCACACGGAGAGTACAGAAGGCCGTCACTTGGTGGATACCATCTAAAAATGACAAAAAACAACCACCTCTTAATAAATCAGTTTCACATTCCATGAAAACACAACCTGCCTCTAGTCTTAGAATGCTGGAATTTTGAAATGCTTCAGGTGTAAGTCAGCTACTTCCGGAAGATAACAGTATTCTCTTTTCACACTAAGAAAGTGTAAATACTGTTTTGGGTTGGAGAAGAAAGCATGTTAACAGACAGGATTACTACAAAGTTGCACCACAATTAGACAGATCATCTTGGTATCTTGCTTCAGGACACAAACTCATCTGCTCTGTTGGAACTAATGCTATAAAAACCTCAGAAATGATGGAAACTTGACAACCGTAAAACACTGTAAATGCTTTCTTCCTCAAAAGTACAAAAATGTTTGTAATACTTATTATGGGATTGTACATGACTTTAACTACTGAGTTTCACACTCAATGACAATGTTTAGCAAGTATACGCTTTCAGGCTAGGACAGTTGCTTCCACATTGTTGATTTAAAGCATATATCACTGAGGTCAATGGGCAGCTGAATTGCTTAGCAACAGACAACAATCCTTTATGCAACACTGGCCATACTTTTGCTACACTTTCAGCACAAGTGCACAAAAAATGATGTATTTTCTTATTTTGCTTGTAACATTACACTGTAAAACTCACTCATTTCCAAATCAAAGTTAAAGTGATAGTATTCAACCTCATGTAGTTTCAAACCTAAATTACTTTCTTCTGTAAAACATCTGTAAAACAGTTTTTTTTTCTTCACAAAGTGTAGAAATATAACACACAGAATATTAAAGTAATAACATTGCACTACATTACAAAGTTGCCTGGAGTACTGTCTGTGATAATATAGTCAAGGTCCGATTAAAGCAGTCTTAAGTTGCATAGCCATACATCTGATCTGAATCTCACAATTTTCACGTGAAGAGGATGGATTTGACAGGAAGCTCCCACAAGTACCACACTGGCTGTTCTGTTTTGCCAAGGGAACAACTGCATAACAGGTGGTATATCCAATTAATACCCCCGGCAAAACAATGTGGCTAAGACCTTTCAAATATGGAGGTGTCATGTGTCTTTGGGCTGAGTTATGTGCCTCTAAATTATATCACCGCCATAAATCACAAGAGAAGGGGGTGTGGGACAGTCACCATTCCCAGTAAATGGGTCACATTCACAACTCTTTCTGGTATGTAGTGCACTGTTTTTGGTCTACTAAAGTTGTGCAGGATGACATAAGCACACTGCACTGACTATAAGTTGTAGGCTGAACCTGATACAGTTTGTTCATTGATTACATGCCATTTCTAATTCAATCAGATTTATGGTTGTTCTCTTTCGGCTTTTGTGTTTCAAATGAGCAACAAATTCAAGAGCTTGGTTGTGACATCTGAGCATCAAGATGCTAATGAAAGCGTCTGCTGGCACCCAGCCTAACAAAACAGTAATTTCATATTTATAGTTTTTGTGCTGTTCTGAGATTAAATATGGATATAACAAATAGGTCTTTTCTCTCAGGGTGGGGAAATGTGTTTTTAAACACTGTATTATCATCGACATCACCGGGAGCTCTTGCTCTGATTCCAAACTACACAAAAATAATTAAAAGTCATCAGAAATTTTCACTAGATTTCTTCTAAAGAGTGTTTGTCTTCTTACTTAGTTTAACCCACTCGCTACATTAAAATATCCTGTCAGTATTCACAAGTTTTGTACAAAAGTACAAAAAAGGAATGTGTTTTCCTGATTTTTTTCCACCTGACATTGCAGACCAGCATATATTTAGTCTGTCAGCTGTTCACTTAGTATCAATGTAAAGTTATGTTGCTGTCAATAACCAGGCAAAGGTCTGGTTGACTTTAAATGTGATATTGAATAACACACTAGATAAACTATACATGTGTATGTTAGTAAATAAATAAAAATAAGTGTACTTCTTTACAGCATGACAATGTAAATTTCTTCATTGATTATTCAAGTTTGTAAACTGGTATCATAATTTCTACACAAGAATTAAATCACAGTCTATGAAAGTACAATATATCATTAATCATGATAGCACAAATCAAAAATAAGCATATTAGTTTATGAACTAACAGTATAAACTTTATGAGCCTGCAACAAACTGTCTCAGTATGATAACCTTTATTATTATACACACATACTGTATTCACAAACATTCAGATAAACAAAATACATTTAATTTAATAGTGTTAGTGTGGTGTATGTTGATGTTTAACTTGAAGTTGTTAAGTGCGCGATATGCCTCACACTTCATCTTATCACAGGTATTGGAAAAAAGCCATGAATATCCCAGCATGCCTGCTGTTGTCAAAATGATTGATAATGGTTTCTTCCTCTTGGACCGGTGTCTTGTGTAACTCAAGCTGACTAATGTAATTACACGAAGAACATGGGATAACAAACTCTGCCATTAGCATTCCCTGTCATTATCCACACCGGTCAAAGAGCAGTGATCTGACACAAACAGGACAGAGGGACAGTGCAGTGTGTTTCAGAGTGTGTCAGGGGTAGGCTGGCATGAAATGAGTTTTCCTCTTTTGGCAAAGGATGACTAAACAACTGGTATGCAAGATAAGAAAACCCTCATTGCTCATCCTAAAAAGCTTTGCTTGATTTGTGGTTAAAACAGTTCAAAATCAGGGATATTTCTATAGATGTTCCCATCTTAAATTAGGCATACAAGTAAACAAACACGGTCTTTCATTACAAGATGCTGCCCCGGGCAATGTTAAAAACAAGTCATTAAATGAGTGTAGCTTTAGCTGTTGTAGGTGAGGTACACATCTTCAGGAGCCAATGAAAATCAGTTTCTGTGCCAATGTGACTGTCAGCATTCTACAGCCCTCCCTCAAGTTTGAATCATAACAAAGGAAGCAAAAGTGCCGCCCACTGAGCCAATAACACTTGAAGATCCCGCCCATGAATCCCTCCCATCTCTACAACTCAGTGACCTGCTTTAGGTACGGTGAGGCAAAACCATGTGACTTTCTATTGTCTTGCTCTAATAAATACACACACTCATACTCAGGGTGTGAATTGTTATGTATCCCGGTGTATGAAATTACAATACTTTTTGTTATTATCTGTTTTATGTGTAATACAATACACCAGTAAATCAAATATTGCAATTCACTGCCATGTGTCTGCACTTTTATATAAGATTTATATACAAGATTTTTATATAACACTGCTTGCAAATCGAGATGTTTAAATGTGCAGTCATACGACAATAAATTGTACCATGGTTTTTGTGCCACTGCATATGCTGAGAAGAATACATTGACACTTTTTATCAAAAGTGACTCACACAAAAGGAACACAACAAGTGATTTGTCCTAGACAAGCTGTAAAATGAGAAGTGCTACAATGCAAAGACAGGCTAGATCAGAGCGGAAGAAAGACATATGGAACGTATAAGAATTGTTATGTACAGTATGTATGTATTTATTTATTTTAAAGTTTTAAAAATTAAGTTCAATTGTATTTGTGCATTTTACCGAACTGACAAATGTTCTAAAGTGCATAATAATCAAACTCTTTGCACATCTCTCTATAATACTTGCTATGATTGGTTGATCAGGAATTCTATATATTTTTGTGTAATGACCACTGTTGTCCCAAATAATATTTCCTACTTAGCTGAGCTTTTGGCAGACACAAAATCTGACATTTCATGACATGGCACATTATGAGAATTCCTACACTGGAATATTAATTGCTTTCATTAATATAAAAATAGTACAGATAACAATGAAACAGTGATTTCCAGAGAAGTGGAGAATGTGGGGTGACATGAAAGACGGTATATAAGATCAGTCCAGACGCAGGTGTGAACAGGTGAAATGCTGACGTGATCTCCATACGGGCCCCTCAGACTGATCTAAACACCTGCACCTGTCTCTACATGCACTGCTGGCATGAGAATCACAATGAGCTATGGGAAACGATGAACTGATGAATATCAATAAGGTTGTATTCAATGAAGTACTAAGAAAAAGCTAATATTTGCTACACAAAGATTGTGCATCCATACTAAAATGTATGTTAAATTACAGTCAAAATGGCCCTTACAGAGACGCAACATTGGGACAGTTGCTAGGCGTAGTAGGTGGTATAAAGCCATGAATGAGACTTGCATGTTTTTCTGTTGGTACTTTGCACAGTACTCAAGGTGTTTCAAATAAAAACACGCCTCAGAGTCATTGGTTAACTGGAATAATGACACTGAGAGAGGCAAGAAAACATTCTTGGCCTTCCAGAAAACGACCCTGGCTGTAATTGTCTTTGTCAAGAGAAATTAATCAGTTTTTGTGATAAGGACTTCACTTGTCATTGCCAAGCTTTTGTTGACAAAGGGTTAGATAGATGAGGTTGCTTTTATGCAAGGTTTTGAGGGCCATGTTCAAACATGTTTGTGGTTGTTGTGTTTGGGGTGGTTCTTCACTCACACTCTCTCTCTCACACACACACACACACACACAAAACCTCCAATTTCACACCTTACCCCGTCTCTGAACCCTTCTGGCCCTCACTGCAGGGAATATCAGGGCGAGACGTTGTTAGATGTACTCGGTGTTTCCGTCGGCCAGATGGGACCAGGCGTTTAATGAATGGGTAAAACGAGATTACAACTCATTGACATCATCACCACCTCCTCTTGCTTCAAAACCAACAGATGGAGCTGAGTGGAGGACGAATGCACTGAGAATCAAAAGGCTATTGATTGTTGGTGGAGACGCATCTGGAAGTTACAGAGCAATTATAGGACGGTGCATCTCTCAAATGTTCGTTTGAATGTATTCATTTCAACTAAATTCATGATTCGAATAATCATGAGGCTGTGAGTGGCACAAGTGCAGTCCATTTATAGGGCCACATTTGTGAAACACTAGAGGTACAAATTGCTTAGTAAATCCTTTGTAAAGCCATTGTTAAATGAACAACTTCCACAGGAAGCATATTGAAATAATTCTGCAATAA